AAATGTCTGTGTGTCAGTGTGTACGCGTGTGTGTGTGTGTGTACATGTGTGTGTGTGTTTACAGACACATAAGACATATGTGTATGGTACAAAACTTGAATTAAAGAACATGACTTCTAATGACAAATGTATGTGGTAGTGAGTATAGACAGAAGTAGCAGAGCTCTTCTGGTTACTTGCACAAGGAGACTATTAAAAGTAGACAAGAATGTGTTGTATAATATACAAGAATTCCAGACTTGGTCTAATGACTTAAAAAGAAGGGGGCCAGCAGGATTAAGAGACTTGCCATGTTTCCCCCTGACCTGCCTCTCTCATCTTTCCAGTGTGGCTGAGATGGTAAGAAACATCTCAAAAAGTGATCTCTGGTGGAAGAGGGTGGGCAAGAACACCCTGGTCCCCTGCTTCCTGTGCTGCAGGCTGCAGATTAGTCAGATGCCTACTCAAGAGAGAGCATTAGTTCAGACTCCAGAATGTATGTGATAGTTTGGACACATTTAGGGTCTTTTCATGGCAAGAGCCAGAGGAAACAAAGACGGCCATAGAGAAAAATAGTCACAGCAAGGCAGAGCTGAGCTGAGCTGAGCTGATGACCATATGGAAATACAGGACACCAAGACTCTCATGTTGAAGGCACTTTTGTCTGACCTGTCCATAAGGAAAATAAAGATTGTCTTACATCACAACAGTAATCAGGGTCATTTGCTCAATTAAGAGAATACGACACATGAAAGCTGACTTTAAACTTTCTGTCTAGTTTTGAACTAACAGCAAGGAAATTATGACTTTATTCAATACAACTGTGCAGTCACACCGAGACGAGAACACATGACGTGTTTATCTGTTCCAATGGACAGTGTCAAATAAGGCCAGCACAGACCTTTACAGGCAGAGCTGGTGATGTGAGACACTGCATATGAGGACGCACTCGGGTTTTACAAACCCCACTGCCAGAATGATCATTTTGGTGGTATTAGGCCAATGATACTTCTGAAAATACATAACAGTTAGTTGAGGAAGACTTCACTCTGCCGTAAGGCATGAGCGGATATGTGTCACAAGGTCCTAATGTATAGTCAAACAGTCATTATCTAAGGCCTCGTCATTGTGCTCTACCGGATTCCAAAGTATATTCGTACAGTCTGTGTTAAACGGCTAATTAGTGGGCAACGAATGGCTGCAAAACCTGTATAATTACCGTGAGTTGAGTTCAAATCAGTACTCAAAAGGTGCTATGCAAGAACCCAGTGTATTTGTAGGAAAACTTGTCAAGTTAATAATATTTTTAACTGTAAAATCTCTACGAAGCCACTCCACACCCTGCAGCCAAGCAATAAAATTAATTAATTAATTAAAATATTACAAACACTGTACTATTTTATAGGTAATCTTGATTCATTTTGATCAAATTAACTTCTCAAAAATATATATATATTGTGAGTCCATTCCACCACATGTCAATCTGTTGTTCGCGACCTTCCTCTTAAGATACAGTAAAATGTTCAACACAACTACTGAAATAGTCACTTTATGTTAGTTTATACTGATCAGTTTATAGTCATTTTTTGTTTAGGCACCACCGTTTTTTCTATTTTACCAATACTTCACACAACAAAAAGCTGTAAAACTAAAAAACTAAAGTTCAGATTTTACTGCAAGCATTACAAGACAACCTTTGAAATACAAAGGTCACATTCATCAGCTAGACACACAATTTACTTTTAGCAATGTAAAGTGTGGAGAAGCTCTGAGGAGTCTTGGACAGGATGTTATCTCCTTCAGAGAGATGGGAAGTATGGACAAGAAATCTAAAGGGAGGGGGCGGAGAGAGCCCAAATGGGAAGAGCAGTGTAAACATTCTCAGTTTTTAATCATCCCAGCTCACGTTCGGATCTGCCCTCACTTTGAAGTTCTCCCTCAGCACCAGCCTCCACCCTCCCAGATGGCCTTTGTAAGGGCTGGCCAGAGGAAATGTGAAGATAGTGTCCTTGGACAGATGAGAGAGCGTTCAGTGCCTTGTGGGACACAGGGAGGTAAGATGAAAGAATACAAACTACAAACTGGACCAGTGGTCAGTTACAGTAACTCCCTAGCCTTTCTTAATCAAAATTGACTAATTGAGGTGACTTTTCCAGAGGTGCCAATAAATCTTTTACATTAAGAGGAAAATATCTGAGTTTGCCATAGCTCAGATGGTAAGGCGTTCATTTTTGCTTCATAAAGTAAAAGTACTAGCACAATGCTAACCCCTAGGTCAAGGAATTAATCTCACAACCATTATTTTTCACCATTCCATCTGTTGTGACTGAAAGCCAGTTTTAGCCTAAAGCCTCGAGTTTTTGCATTTCTCTGATGTCACAACGCATGATTAATACAGCAATAGGGAGACAGTCAAAATTCCTTTGCACTTGTATTGGTCCAAATGCTGCTGGCCAGACACCAACCGGTGCTCCAATAAACATGTTCATTCAGAGGACATGACAAACCTCCAGGAAGATCAGTGTTCCAGTAGACGTGAGTGGGACATGCACCAGAGCGATGACTAAATAGGCAAAGACTCGGACCACGTTCAGCACCACAGAGTTGTGTGTTCAGGAATTTGTTTACAAACTGTTTAAGATGGAAAATACAATGTGTGGTTGCACAGTTTAAGCAGTTCTTTTAGTAAGAGTGGATAAAAACTTCAGCAAAATAACCACTTTTGAACAGCTAGGTTAGCTGCCGCTCAGAGTAAGTATTCCAAGTATTCCATCACATAATATTTACAGCGTCTGATTAAAAATGTTTACTGAAATCACGAATCAAACAGAAGTAGCTGCATTTGGCCTTTCAACATTCATCACTTTCTGACTTTTGTTTTTTCGTCTTGTAAGTATAAAGAACACATTGATAGACTGCAAATATATCAGTGGAAGTCAACGCTATTTCCAGCCTGCAGTGGTAATAACCTGTTGGGACAGGCCTAGAGCATCCTGCACTACAGCACTGCCTCACTGTGAAAAGCCTGAGAATATAATCCAAAAAAAAAACCCCAAACCTCAGGAGCTGTAATAACATCTGCAATCACTGCTGAAGAGAACCAAAGAAACCAAATCAGAATCAAGTTCAATACTTTCAACACCAAATATTTACCAGAAACAATAGTAAAAAACATGAACCAGTACAAGATTTGGCAGTATTCATTCCACAGACACAAAGATATAAGCCTAAAACTATCTCCTTCGCTGTTTAAAATATCAACAGATCAAGACAACCCAAACTTTAAACATGTAGAGTTTTTTTCTTCTAGGTACATTTTAAAATATTTTCAGTAATTATTTGGCACATCTTATTAGTTACCTTGGCAGATTTAGTTACTGTAGATGACCATGCCCCTTTACACAACCTGTGGGCAATTCATTGTAAAACTCCAAAATGAACCATTCATCGCTTGCTTTGGTGCCAAATTTGTCTACTCAAAAAGACTAAAGCTAACAACAACACTTACTGCCAAGCCTTACTGTGAACAAAAAGAAATGCCAAAGTAATTCCAAAGTGTGTTTGATCGAAACCGCACTTCAACGTATTGCCAAGTTCTACAAGAGAAATTTGGGGAAGAGCAACAGCTTTTGACATCCCCTGGTATTGGGCTGTCTCTGTGACGATGCCCAGAAATCCTCATCACTTGTGACACAGTAATGCATCTGCTGCGCCATTCACAAGACCTCCCCCACCTGGTAGGTGAAGAGAGACAAGATCCTACAGTACAACGTATGTGCTCCGTTTCTGTGGAAACCACAAATAAATTGACACGACCAACCTTCGTGGCTCAGGACCTTAATCCACTTCTGAATCCTAAATATGCACACTGAATAGCCTGCGTACTTCACATTTGCAGGGTAATGACATGTTGTTTCATAAAAAGAAAAAAAGAAAAAAAGAAAAAAACACTTCTGCTTAAGTAATAGACTTACATGGGTCTGAACATGATTTGCTGTGCCATTTGAAAGTCTAGCACCACACCTTGATATTAAAATTTTTTGGAAGAATATTAGCTGTCATAAATAGTTGCAGGGATACACCTATGGAAGTTGGCAACCCAAAGCAAACAACTTTTTTAGGGGAGTAAAAATAGAAGGAAAACAAACTAACCTCAATAACAGCTGCGTGTCATCACTATTGTTGGAGGAATTTAGATATTCTGTCATCACGTGCTGAGTAAAAAGGGTAGTATTGTGTACTGTAACCGATGGTCACTGCAGATGGTGTGCAGCTACAAGTTCAGGCAATAACAATACAGGGTACATGGGACTGGGATGCTGTGTAAACAGTTTAATTTTCTGTGTTACTGGAACTGTCACTGTACAAACAGAGCGACATATAAAGATTTATTCATTTACTATTTGTCTGTGCTTTTTATATTAGAATGACTGTGTAGACAGCAGTGATACTAAAGACTCTTCTACCTTTTCAAGTCAAAATACTAAAGAAAGAAACTTGTCTAAGTTAAAGTACCCAAGGACAAATAATAAATATTGAATTAAATACTTTTTACAATATACATGTTGACCGACTTCTAGTCATGTTTTTGTGTTGATTTTTATACTGGACAAAATGACTTGTTGACTACTGTAGAAAATACCCATTTGCTAAAGCAAATCTAACTATCAGATGCAGTTAAAATAGTTACCATCTTGTAATAAATAGTAAAATGTGCCAACATATTGGTATCTTTATTTATTGCACCACTTCATTCTGCAGTCCTGGCGTTTAAAGCATGAACAATTTCATTCAACAGAAATATTCAAATTTCCTGGAAAACACACATGCTGGTGCAAGTAGTGTGGTGTGTCCATCTACACAAACAAACACCTGATCTACTGACAGCAGGTGCATGTCCACGGTGAACCTGACAGATGCTCTTCCTGGTCTAATATAAACAACACGCTGACATAAAGTGTGCTTGAACTGTGACCTGATGTCCACTGTCTACAGAGGCTTTATTAACAGTGAGTCCTCACCTGCATGAGCTTCCCCTCCGCATATCCGGCACTTCCTCCTACGAACACCCCCTCCAAAGTGATGGGCTTCCCCGTGGGCTCGTTCTTCAGCAGCGTCACCTTGATGAGCGCTCGCAGGACCGGCCGCTCGGGCTCCAAGCCCGGCTGGGCCAGCACCACCTGCTGCAAGGCTGCCATGAGCAGCCACGGCCAGAGCCCGGCCCGGCGCCGCTGGGGGACAGTCATGGCCTCGGGTGCTGTGGCTGTGCTCGGCCGCACATGGTGACTTCAAAGCAGGCAGGCGGATTAAAACAAAATATATGTATATATTTATAAACGTTCCACGTCTCTTGGCGTCTACTGCAGAAGAGATTCAATCCAAATGTTTAAAAGTGCTGGAGGGCTGCCAGCATAACTCAAACTCATAACTCACACTTACATTCAGCGCCAGAGTTAATATTCAAACTCTGTCACTCAGTGCCCACGGCATCGGCACAGAAACCGATAACTTCACAGAGTTTGGAAAAAAATATATATATACAAAAAATGCGCTGGTGAACTTTTATCCAGTGTCATTAGTATGAGGAGCGAAAGTGTGCACACACAAATGCACCATGAAGACACGTCGCGCTGCGTTGTGACTGAAAGTGTGCAGCATTGGTTTCCAACAGCAGACGGCAGAAACGTGAAGTCCTGATGAGGACACAGCCTGGACTCTCGGGTCCTCTCCCGGCTAAGAAGAGGGCAGGTCCTGGCCACACTGGATCAATCTTCATCCAAACGACACTCGGGTCCGTTAATGTGGCTGTTATTACAGTGTGCGTCAGTCAGAGTCACACATCGCATCTGCGACGCAAGACGAGTTGACAAACAGCGTCAAAAGGCAACACGTCCCGTCGGCGCCACATTTTCGACGTGAATCCACTGACACGCTCCAACTTCAAAGGCTCAACTCACAGGTGGCCGCCGGAAACGTTATAAGGCGTGTTGAACTATAATGCAGAGCCAAAATGTCGGCTCATCATAAAAGGGACAGCACCAATAGTTGGTAAATTCGACATACATCGCTCTATTTAACCATCATAATCAAACGAACCGTTGCCTTAACTCACTTATTCCAACTTAGTAATTACGTTGAGTCTAGAAGGGAGGCGACCCCTAAACAAGACTCATCCACCTCGTTCTATGCCGTCGGTTCCTTTTAAAAATCACTGCGCTTCTATAAACGACAAAAAGTAAAAACAAGAACAAAAAGGGGGAAAATCCGTGTTCGGTGTCTCTGTCGCACTGAGAGAAATGAGATACGATCCTCTTGAGACCAACGAGGGCAATATAAAAATGGAAAACAGAACAGAAACATGTGAAGAAAAAAATGTAAACGTTCTCCAAACTTTCAGAATCTCCTGACAAACGCCGAATAAGTGAAGAAAACACTTCTGAAGCTGTTCTTCTCTCCCCCTTTCACTCTTTCTCTCCCTCTCTCTTTCCCAGGATCTCATTGACGGCCTCTACCTGCACACTGTCCTGACGCCTTCACGTTCTGTCGGACATCACGCTTCTCAATCTCAGCCCTACAAAAGTACGGGGCCAAGTCCAAAAAGTTGAAAAATAAAACTTCACCAAACAAAGCCTGAGGTTGTTAGAATTTGAAACCCTGAAAATAACAGTTATATAATCCTTTAAATATAATTCAAGATTTCTTTAAATCAAATATTTAATCTAGCTTGGACAAATTTATTTTCCTAAAACTAAAAAGAAAAATGTATGAAAGAAACTAGATTTTGGAACAAAAGTCGATTTAAAAAGAAGTAATTTTACACTGAAAACATTCTTTTCCCCCAATATATCTCAGAAATATTTATATTGGTTCACACAGTCCAAATACTTTTAAGGGGTTAGATAATAGAAATATACACTTTTACTTATAGCTTAGGACCCTTCTATGAAAGATGTGTATGATGTTGAGTGATATCTAGAGTCTAGAGTAGCACTCTTTGTGAATATAATTGATTAGAAATACAAACACACAGAAATAGTATGTAAACGTTCTCAGTTTGAACTATTAAATCTGTTAGAATATTTCTCAATGTAACATTCCTACACACCAAATGCCAACATGTGGTCTATCATACTACCTATGTAGTCTGTAGACTCAACAGAGATGCAACAGAGGGACTCATGTTGGCATGTAGACTCAACAGAGATGCAACAGAGGAGTGCTAGGCATATTATGTATTTATACAAATCCCCTCTTACAAATGGTACATGTTGGTAAGACAACAGAAGGGTTTGTTTATTTGTTTAGTCCAATATAAAACGGAACGTTGCTTTGTTTTGTACTCCCACGAATAACAAATATATATATATACAGAGCTTTCATTTGGCTCCTGAAAGCACCATAATATACTGAGGGAGGGGCAGCTGCCGCAGCAGTGTCGAGCAAAACCAAGCCACTGTCTCCCTCTTCTGGAACAAACCACACACAACACACAAACGCCAATGTATTACTGTCAGCGAGACGCTGACAAAAAAAACTACTTTTCTTTTTACTTTACCGTAACTTCTACCACATCTGCAAAAAAAAAAAAATAAAATCAGACGGCTTTTTAAATTATATCATTTATCTCTTTTACCTTTTGACTTAACCTTCTGACTCTGTGATACCGTTGACTCTACATTTTTAATGCATAGTCCAATGAGAAAATAACAATTCAATTAAATATATAAAACTATATAAAAATATATAAATATATAAATATATAAATATGTGGAAAGCTGTGGTCACAGGAATTATTTTAACATTTTAATTAAATGTTGTGGATTCTGTGTCTATTTATGTAATTCGGATTCTTATTTTAAACGGACAAATTATATATTGATTCCGTACAGTATTTTGCTCTAGTTCTAAAAAAAAAGTCTTATGTACAGTATGTAATAATCACTGCTCCTCCCTGTGGACAAATGAGGCATTGTAGCTGATTTTCCCACAGGCTGACATGGGCATTTATCTTCGAATCGTAATTGATTACGTCATCTGGGGCTCTCTTTATCTAATGACAGAGGGAAGACCAGTAACGGACCAATCAATGCCCCATTGTGTAAAGCGATAGAAGAACTCTACCTTGACATCTAGAAATAGAAATTGTTGACAGTTTTTTTTTTTTTTAACATTTATTTTTGCCAGGTTGAAGTTTTAAAATAACAAAATAAAAATCTAAGATGATAAAAAAATATGTCAAATATGTCTTAATTTCATATTTGACTTTTTGATTTTGCAGGTCGTAACAAGATTCCGAATTATGAACCGAGTGAAAAAAGATTATATAGAGATGTTATTTATATTTTCGCTACCTACTGTAACCTTATAACAAATCTAGAGGAACTTGGTTTCTGCAGTCATCACAACATTTTTAGATATGTCATGTTCACTGTTTAAATGAAGGCCATAATAATCTTGTCCTAAATGTGGTTTGTTGTAAAAGGTCTTTTGTTAGCTGTTCCAAGCTGAGCTGCATCTGGACAGTAACTTTCTTCTTTTTCTTTCGGCTTTGTCCCTTTTTAGTTTTTCAGGGGTTGCCACAGCAAATCATTGATTTCCATCTCTCCCTGTTCTCTGCATCTTCTACTCTGACTCCAACTATCAGCATGTCCTCCCTCACTACATCCATATATCACCTCTTTGGCCTTCCTCTCTTTCTCCTACCTGGTAGCTCCATCTCTAACATTCTTTTCTCCTACCTGGTAGCTCCATCTCTAGCATCTGGACAGTAACATAAGAAGCAATGGGCTCAGTGCTGACAAGTCTGCAGAAACAGGAAAAAGCAACAAGACAATCATAACTTCATTATCTATCTGTACGTGTATGTCCAAAGAAAACGGCTGTTGTGCTACAATGTATAAAAGAAAAGGCTCCAATTGTTCTCTCCAGTGCACAATAAAACACAATATATACTTACTTTTTCCACCTCCAACGCATCGTTCTTCCCAATCACCACCGTCCTCCATACATTAAGTCCAGGACCTGTGACTTGGTCTTGCTTTCAGCAGTGACTCTCCTTAGAGCTACAACAAGCTCAGGATGGTGTCGCTTGAAGTTTTGGTGGTAAAAATAGTGATAAGTCCTACGTGGTGTGTAAAATCTAGTAACTCTACTGGTTTTCTTAAAGCCATAGTTGTGGAGCTGGCGCACAAAGCTGCTGAAGTTTTTGGTTTTAAAGGTGTTAGCACTGCCCGATGTAGCGCTGCTGCTAGGCGACAGGACCTGCAACATGAAGAGCTCCTGATGAATGGATATGGCTTCACTGAAGCGGTCCCAGGAGATCGACGTCTTGGCCGGGTTGTTTACTAATTTGGCTGGGAAAGAGCTGGGGTTGATGTTGACAGGGAGTGAAACTCCACTGGTATCCATACTTTAGTTTGTCTGACTGTACAAAAAGAAGAAAAAGGGTTAACTTCAAGTGACTAGTGTGGTGGAATGAGAATATAGAATATTATAATTTCAAATAAGAAATGAGCAGCTTGACACCTGAGTGGGTTGAAATTTTTTCTTACATTATTTTGCTAATTGCTGAAATGTTCAAGTTAGAAACATATTGTGTCTTGTGTTTTTCACACAAACTATTACCTTGCTCGCACTTCCATTCAGTTCAAACACTTCAGTATTTTCTTTCATCTTTATCTATGCATGTCCCTTTAACCTCCTTTGAAGTAACTTACCTACGCTTTAATCCTGATGACCTCAGCTTTGATCTAGAACCACAATACAGCCAGTGGTAATTGCTGGTAATTGAAACAGGATAATCTTATTTTAGGCCCAGCTATTTAAATGTAGGTTCTGCCTTTCTGTTCCTTTAACACGTCTATAGAATACCACAATAGTTTGTAGTTTTTAAATGTACAACTCAGCTCACTTGCACTCTTATTAGATCTTTGTCATTTCTAATTATTTTATAGGTAAGAAAAACCTAAAGAATAATAATTAAAAAAAAATCGCATGTTCATTGTTTTTGGTACAAATTACATTTGTTGTGTATGTATACACGTAAATCGGAACACGTAAACTGTACTAAGATGTAGCTCAGAAAGTGACCTTTTAAGTTCAGAATTAATTTTAATTGTCTAATTTTTGTGGCCACATAAAACAAGTTTATTATTTGTGGTTCCTTTATTGGTTATGTTGAAAACACAATAGTAATAGACATACAAATTAGTTCTAAATGGAACGGACATCCCATGGTAGCCTAACGTAACTCACTGGTGGGAGAAAGCTAAAGGAGCTAATGCTAAATGTTCACTGACTTGGAGAACAGACGACATAGTGGTGTTTTACAGCTCACTGCACACCGACACTTTCTAACAAAACAGATTAAATAAGTTTAAATTTTTTAAAAAGAGTCATGTTTACATAACACGAACAGTATAATGTAGCGTTAGGCGAATGTCGTGTAGCTTGTCACGCTAACACTTAATGTTCTACCAATTCAACATTACGTTAGGAAAGCATTGACGTAATTTGACCCAGTTAATGTGTATACCTTTTATTTAGCGAGGATTGTCAGGTGGTTTATCCGCAGGTGATGAAACATGTTGGATCTGCGTCCTCATTTTGTGGCATGATATAAATGCTGGTAAGCCGCCATCCACGACGACACCCTGGTCATTTTCTTCTGTAGCCAAACTAACCCAACACGACTGATTTAATGCGCTGTGTGAGGGAATAACTCTTTTTCTGCCATTTCCCCATGTGGTCACGCCTCTGTTCTGGAACTTATAGGGACAGAAAACAAAGCAACACACGCGGCAACGCGCGGGTGTTGTGTAACTTTATTTTCGTTCCGTTAGAGTTGCGCTTAACTATAGTTCCGGTACATTATTTACGGTATTTCGGAAACGTAACGATAAATTAACCGTAGTGCTTAATACCGCAATTAATTGTAATATCGAGACATCACTAGCTCTCACCGATATGTTACTTTAGTGAGCTTTATTTCTTCATACTTTGCTCCCTGCTGGAGGGTCATCTAACATTGAAAAGACTGTAAAGACTGATGAAGAAGTGCGTTAGGTTGTTAGTTTCATTGACATTGTACATTAAAACACTACTTTTTCGAAATAATGGAAAACTGAATCCAAGTTTATAAAATACAGTGCACATGGACAGGATTTACAGTACGTACATAAAAACAGATGGAAAATTGGTAATTATAATGTCAAATCAACATAGAACGTGAAGAAAACAAAACAATAAAAGTAATAAAACAAATGTTGCAATGACACTAACTGCTTAAGTTCAGCATTAAAACATGGTTGAGTGTCTCCTTTTGTTTTATAGGTAGGATTAATTCAAGTTAATGTTCAAAAGTTTATCACGTAGAGTAGTGGAGTTTGTCGTCTTCCAAACATCTTTCTGTCTTGTAAAATCAAAAAGTTTCCTCTGAGGTTTCAACTCTAACTGGGCCGTTACCAACAGCAAGTGGCATCAATTCCTCAGCAATCTGAAAAGTTTTACACAGCAGATCCTGGTGGTCGTCAACTGCTATGCAATGCTGTCAAAAAAAAACAAACAAAAAAAAAAACAAGAACAACAACAACCAAACATTTTAGACAAAGACAGCAATGTTGAGTATCAGGGAAAACAGACTGTATTCCTCCTACCTGGTTAGAGGGTGGAGAAAAGGGCTTACGGTCAAGTCCACTAGCTGTCATTTGCAACGATTCTAGATTTGCATGGTAGGACTGAAAACCTTAAAAAAAAAAAAAAAGTTTAACATTATGGGTTGTAGCATAGTAGAGCGGCCTCTCTAACCAAAATAATAGAAATGTTCGGCGCCAGACAGGAGAGGATCAAATCAGCGCACCTCAAACTATCAAAATCTTAAGAATCTAAATTTAATCAATCAATTGATGACTATTTTGCAATCGTCATCAATCCATTTACAGTATTCTATAATTTAATAGTATTTTATTTTTCTATATTCTACATTTGTATAATTGTCAACGTGAATTAAAAACATCCTCATGATTTCCAGCAATAAATGTCGCTGGTGACAGTGGAAACACTTCATGGTTATGTGCTTCAAATAGACTTCAGAACACATGTGTCATACTCACATGGAGAATAGAGGCCAGGCTGGTTTAGTCCAGGCTGGTTCAGTCCAGGCTTGTTCAGTCCAGGCTGGTTCAGTCCAGGCTGGTTCAGTCCAGGACCAGTATAATCACTGGTCAGGTTGGGACTTTGTTGGGTCAGTCCCACAGGTAACGTCTGTTTTATGAGTATTACATTTGAACACGGGAGTATTCTGGTAGTGTACTGGTTTAAAGTTACTGGTTGATCTGTTAGCACTATGCCTTCAACATGGCTGGTCATCAGGTACAGTGGGTAGACTGGAGTCGCAGCATGAGCTGTTTTAGTCGGAGCTGTATCCAGACAGTTGGGAGTCGTCGGGCTCTGAGGTGACACACTACTTTTCTTTACACCGCTGTCTTTTTCTTCACCACTTCCTCTTCGAGAGCTCCACGGTCTATGACTGACTTTGAGACCAGCGCTGAGTTTGGCCTTATTGTCAGCAGTGAGTCTCCTCAGATCTGCAACAAGCTCCGGATGGTTTCTGTTGAAGTTTTTGTGGAAAAAACAGTGGTATGTGCCACTGTTACTCGATAAGGTGCCCCCAGCCACGGGACTGATTTTCTTAAAGCCGTACAAGTTGAGTTGACGCACAAAGCTGCAGAAATTGGTTGTTTTGAAGGAGCCAGTGTTGTCCAGGTTGGGACTACTGGTGGACGACAAAATCTGTGACTCAAAACGTTCCTGGTTGATGACAATAGCCTTACCCAGGTGGTCCCAACATATGGCTGTGCTAGCTGGGTTGTTCACCAGACGCCATAATTTGGCTGGAAAAGTGCTGGGATTGATGTTCTCTGGGAGCACAGTTAGACCAGCCTCCATGTTTGGATGTGCGACTGAAAACAGAGGAAACGTCAGGTTAATGTTTAGTGAACACAGCAAGATCAAGAAATGATTTAAATAATTTGTTAAATCCTAGAGTGGGCTACTGGGTTAGGAAGGCTAAGACATTAGAAAAATACTACATTGTACGTATATATTAATATTTTTATTTTAAACACATGAGGTTTATGCTACAAACAAACCTGTTTAATCTATGTAAACTAAGCATAAAAAAATAGCCAACAGACGTCTGATAATTGGCTTAATGTTTACCAACAATTAAATAGCAAACAATTAAACATTTTAAGAAACTGATAAGAGCTTTGCTAAAACTTTCATTGAACAAAAACATAATAAATAATAATAAGTGTTTCTCTAAGAATATTAATTACCCCCAGTTACCAAAATCTATAAAAGGTTTCTCCCAGGTCTCTCTTGTACAACTTACTTTGACTTGTAGTGAAGTTTCATGGCAGTTGCATTGCTGACAGTTGGAGGAGCTCTTTTATTTGCTTTGTTGCATCAAAGGATCAAAGACTCTCTCCCCCTGTTAATATGTGGGGTCCATTAGTGTTATGTTTCTTACACTTGTTTTGTAAGGGCTTTTTTAAAAATACCTCTGATGTTTTTAATTATGTTATGAGAGCCCCCTAGTGGCAGAAAATAACTAGTGGATGTCGCAGGTTGATTGGATTAGCAGATTTTTCAGGTATATTTGTTTGAATTAAAGTGGTTTGAAAACAGGGCAGCACACGTCTGAAGAAAGGGAGTAGAATTGGGACTCTTGTACCACACAGATAATACAGTCAAAGTGGTTCAGTTGAAATGTATATAGACGTATTAATGTGTGTCACAGAGGAGGGGTACTGGTATGGCTGTGTTTGTGTCAAGTTTGTGTCAAGTTACTGACTTGTGTCTAAATCAGAAAGCAGATCTCACTCTATCATTTACTGTACTTTATTTGCCACAACGTCATCAGAAGATAACAGATATACATAGTATTGTGTATTTTCTTTCCACCAGGTAAATTGCAGATCTTCTCAAAGACATCAGGTCACAGTGTGTGTTTTTCTTAAGTATTATATTGGTCTAAATAAAAAAGAAACCCTTAGATAACAGTGTTTCTTCCAGCTTTAAGTTATTGTTGTAGATCACCATGGTTACAATTTCACCTGCGACATTTGACTCGTTATTCTTTCACAGCAACTCTAGTCGCAGCTAGACCAATCAAACAGGCAACAGTGTATCCAACCACAGCTGACCTTTATGAATGTAATGTGGTCAAAGTACACTTGAAAAGTGATGACTCACTGCTGAGATCTTTCTAATGATGAGTATGATTAACCTTCGGCCGCAGTAACCCTCAAACAGTATATTTTGTATAGATTCAGTTAATTGTAAATTGTTAAAAATTTATTATTTTTGCCTTCTTCAAAAATACACATGATTGGTTTACTTTTTGACAACATGTCTGAAAAAGACAACAGTCAAGGCATCTTTAAAGTGACGCATCAGAGATTCATATCCAAACCAAAGACACAATAAAATTGAATACAAATGCAAACATTATTGACGACATACTTTAAAACTTTAAAATGACAAATCACATGAAAGGATAAAAAAAAACTGAAGAAAAGAAAAAAGATCTCATCAAGCCTTCCTGGTACAGGCCTGCAAATCAACAGATTTGGATGTGAAAGGAGAAAGACAAACAGTCAGCAAATTTATTACCATTGACTAATTGGATTCTGAACCAATAATAATAATAGTTGTAATAGTACTAGTAGCAGCAGCAGTATTTTAGGGAATCACCTGCATTGGAGTGCTCGTGCTGCTGTCGGGAGCCATGCTTGAATCAAAGCGAGCGGGGTCTCCATGCTTGACGTCTAAAACCTCAGTGCTCTTTGGACCACCACTGTCCATCTGACAAAGTAACATTCAGTAAAGTACATTATTGACAAAATATCCCTGTTTTCAGTGTGTATTTTGAGCATATTTTTTACACAATGGTTGTATACGTACAAAACTCTGTACAAACTACATTAGGTCATTTTACTGAAAGACTGTTGGTGGCGCTGACAGTCTTTAATGCACTTTGATGTTAACTGATGACGGCCTGCATTCAGCCATGACTTGAAACATCCTTAAAAGTACCCACCCTGTGTGTGTCATGTGACAGGTAATTGTCCGTGATGATTTCCTGGTTGATGTGATGAAACCCATTATCTGCTGTCTCTGGGTTCGGAAGTTTAACAGATAAGCTGTTGGTTGGAGGTGGCATCAATTTTTCAGCCATCTGGAAAAAAAAGTTTATGTAATTCCTGGTTGTGGTCTACAGCAGTGTTTCCTAACCTTTTCTGAGGCACAACACATTTTTTATTAAAAAAACTAAACAAAAAAAGGGAACACCACCAAACAAAAATGATATGTAATGACATAAAATAATCGTTTACTTCAAACTGACTCACAATTTACTAACTCAATGTGAAATCTCAACCTGTTTAGTTGAAGACAACGTGGATATACTTGCAGGAATTGAAGAAAGACAATGTTTTCATAGCCATCTGCTGCCATCTAGTGGAAGAGTATTTAATTGTTCTGCCTGTTACTATGCAATGACCAACAAAATAAATTGCAATAAATAAATATTAGTTTTTAGATAGTGAAAGTAAAATTGGATCTTTTTCCGTGGCACACCTAATGATCTCTCACGGCGCTCTAGTGTGCATCGGTACAGTGATTGGGAATAACTGGTCTTTTAGTCCAGAGTTTCCAACTTCTCCATATCCACAGAATGTTATCTTACTGCTACGTCAATGTTTGTGCTTTTGACCTTTACAGAAAACCTGACCCTGCTGTTTGGTACTATATTAGCGGAAGGAAACGAACCAAGCTAATGAACGCAGCAGAACAAGCAGGTTCAACGCAATGGCCTTACATCAGAGAAAAGCAGAGGTAGAAATGTTTGTCGTTTCACAGAGAGAATAGACAGAGGACGATCCAGCTACCTGATAGCAGTGATAGGGAGCAAATGGCCTCAACTGAAGTCCACTTCCTGCCATGTGGGATGTTAAGATGTTGGCAGGGTAGTACTGGAAACCTTCGAGAAGAAACAAATAATTAATTTTTACACCTTTTAATATTTGATGCATAATACATAGCCACTGGTACTGGTTTGATTTATTTTATTTAATGTAGTTCTCCCTCAGCACATCCTGTTTCCTCATGTCAGTTTGGTAAAAGTGCATTTTCTTACTAAATGATCCTATGTTTTGCTTACATGGAGAATAAAGGCCAGCTGGGTCCTGAGCTGTTTGGACATCATAGCTGCTGAAATTTGGGATCCCGTGGTTTGAGTAGGTTGGAAAAGACTGCTGAATGTGCACAGGACCTGAGCATGAAACTGCTGTGTTTTGCTGGTTTAAAGGAACTGGTATTTCTGGCAGCGCTGCAGCGTTGTTGCTGCTGTTCATCAGGTATAATGGGTAGACTGGAGTTGAATTGTTTGTTGTTGCGGCCTGTGCTTTATCTGAACAATAAGGATGAGTTGGAGTCACTACTGTAGTCCCTGCAGAAACAGAAAAGAATGCAATTGTGGGTGTCTAGCATCAAGCACATCTGATCTATAGTAAGTAGCTCTAGGCATTGGTCAGAGAGATTTCTTTTTACTTTTTTTGTTTTTGCATTCGCCACTTCCACTGCACCTGGTCCACGGTCTGTGACTGACTTTCAGTCCAGCACTCAGTTTAGCCTTGTTATCAGCAGTGAGTCTCTTCAGATCTGCAATAAGCTCAGGACGGTTTCGGTTGAAATTTTTATGGTAAAAACAGTGATATGTTTCATTTTCAAATGGTATGTTCACTTTGACAGTTCGAATGTTTTTCTTGAAGCCGTACAGGTTTAGCTGACGCACAAAGCTACAGAATTTGGTAGTTTTGAAGGAGTCAGGGTTGTCTGAAACCCTGGGGGAAGGAGACAAGATCTGGGACTTGAAGAGTTCTTCATTAATTAGGATGGTCTCACCCAGCTGGTCCCAGCAGATTGATGTGTTTTCTGGGTTGCTCACCAAACGCCACAGTTTGGCAGGGAAGGTACCAGGGTTGACATTGTCTGGAAGTGTACCAATATCACTATCCATGGTTTTGTTTGTGCAGCTATAATAAAAAAAAAGAAAAAGGAGAAAAAGGATATGTTAAAACTGTTAAACTTCAAAGATAAAACAGCCAAACATCAATATTGGCCAATTTTTTTCTATCATTCAGGATGGCAAAACTTTGGAAACATAATTAAAACAAAGAAAAATGCTAACTGTGTTTATTTATTATTATTTCAAAATAATTCATCATAGGAAATGTATCAACATTTAAAAAAAAGTTCAGAAGAATACTGACTTACCTCTCTGACATTGTCCTAAGAATTTTGGCTAATAGTTAGGATTCACACAGCACAGTGTAGACAGTATTGTATGTATCATGTGAGTATTACATCAGTTGGTCTTTTTTCTACTAACTGCTATTCTCGAGTCTAATGGTAAAATGAGTGCTTTGATCTCCTGTCCTGTTCTTAATTCTGCCAGACTCGAAGAGATGCTTTTGTCCTTTTATTCTTTTATCTCTTTGTTTCAGTTTGTATTTGTTTTATTATTAATTTATTTACTCATTGGTTTATTTTCAAGTAGGACCTCTGTCTTGCTGTGACATTTGTTTTTTAGGAGACAGAAGAAAAGACCTCACATCACATCTTTCTCAACCTTTCAGGAAGCAGCACCAGATAAAAGTGATTAGAAATGTCATTACAGGCAGTTTGGTGACATCTCTACCCACTAACATATGCCATGTTCTAATTACTTGAAATTTAATACAGATGTTTTGCATTAACCATATTAAATACTTTACGACAATTTTATGGTTGACAAAAACATCACTTTTCGCTTGGATACTTGTTCAGAAATAGATCTAATAGATGCAAAGATTTTATTAGAAGGATATGAAAAGGGATTTTTATTTTTAACGGTTATTGGTGTTTAACATGCGTTGCATCACGTTGCAACGTAACATTACGTCCCACGTCATTTAACGGGCATAATTAAAGGACTACTATGTTTAGGACCCTCGTGACGTATTTCTAGCTGCGACGAAAACAAAACATTTCCTATTAGGTCGTGTTAAGTCTTTTAATTCACCATTTCACTGTAGAATCCGTAAACTATGGCATTGGAAACTGTACCTAAGGACTTGAGACACTTGAGAGCATGTCTCCTTTGTTCGTTGGTGAAGGTAAGTCATGGAATGTGAGAGAAACTGAATACTACGCCATGCTAATGCTAATCTAGTCAGTACTGCACTGCACTTTAAAATATACATACTTCACACATAATGTAAGTCTTCTAACCTTAGGTGTGATCAATAGAAGAACCACGGGTATGCACTGGTGAGAGAAAGGTTTAGGCTTCATTACTGCTTTTCTACAGCTTTTCATTTTCTTCTTCAGACTATTGACCAGTTTGAATACGACGGCTGCGACAACTGTGAGTCCTATCTCCAGATGAAGGGGAACCGGGAGATGGTTTACGAATGCACGAGTTCCTCGTTTGATGGGTAAACATCTTGAGTTGTTGTTATTAATACACAGGAGTTAAATGCTGTTTTTTAAAAAAAAAATTTTAATGTTTTTTGTCCCCGTTGGTAACTACCTATGACATTATGTTTTCAGCGTTGTAGCCATGATGAGTCCAGAAGACAGCTGGGTGGCAAAATGGCAGAGGATAGGTGAGAATGTGTCTTTAATCAATAATAATGATGGATTTTTATATATGATTAGTACGAAGTAAAAAAAAGAACAAAACGCAGTACACAGGTAAGCTTTGGGGAAAGGGGGGGGATATAACCCCTGTTTTATTGCTGATATTTTGTTGTTGTTGGCAGGTAACTTCAAGCCTGGTGTATATGCTGTATCAGTGACTGGCAGATTACCTCCAGGTAGTTAAACTTGACTACTGCCCTCTGTTTTGTTTACAATGCATATCTAATAACACAGAACTGTGTATAGTATGGCTACATGCTCCATGTAGGTGTCCAGATCAGATCACATTTGTTTTGAACCTCAGATTGACTGAAGAACTGTGTTAATCCATGTATTTGAATATGTTATGTTAAGGTTATTATGTAGTGTTAAATGGTAATACTATGTCAGAGCCAATCTGTATATGGATGATACAATTAGTTTAGAAGGAAAAATTATATCTTGTTTTTTTTTATATTGTCAGGTATTTAATTTTTGTCCTTTTTTGCAGGTGTTGTGCGAGAGTTGAAGAGCAGAGGAGTAATCTACAAATCCAGAGATACGGCAGTAAAGTCTTGAACACAAATGGGGTTTTTTTTGGTTTAGTTTTTCCTCATGGTCCACAGCAGAGTAACATGATGTCATCACCAAATCCAGGATGACGACACGTTAATTCAGCTGTGGTTTCTCTTTGTCTTTCTGTATATTATTATGTGATCTTTGATATTACTTTGAATACCTGAAAGAATAAAAGTGTTTTTGTAAAAGTCTGTAATTATATTTTATTTATATCTATGATATTTACACAGCACTTTAAGCATCAAAGATGTTACACCTCCCCCTGGTTTGTGGTTATCAACTAAGATTAAATTTAAATAATCTAATTTATAAGATAATAATACTTTTTTAATTAAAATACTTGAATTAAATTGAAAAAGACTATCTGCTTTTAATTTTTTTTTGCCATGGGTTTACCAGAGAGAAATATTAAAATATTAACAACAAATAATTTAATGCATTAAAATTAGTTCAAATACAGTGGAGATTTGGAATGTCTCCAGGTCAATGACTTAGTTAAATTACAGTTGTTTATGTCATTAGAAACAAATTACTATTTTCATTGTAAAACCTGAGTAAAAATTGTCTTATTTTAGGAGGAAAACAAATAACTTTTTTATTTTTATCGTGAAGAACCAGTGACAGAGTTCCTACTTCAGTCCCTTAAACATAAACTCTGTAAAATATATGCAAACCCACTCAGATCCAGTAGTGGGCGCCCCATGGTAAAGTTGTAATGGAGTAAGGGTTGTACTTTTTTTTTTTTGTTCAAATCGTGTTGACCTACTTAGCTGTTAAAGCAGAACATTTAATGTTTTCTAAAGACTCACGCTGTGATTTCACTGAGATCAGGAGAAGTGTTTGTAGCCGCCAGGGTAAAAGTTCTTCCTGTCACCTTAATATTTAAGTTAGTTTCTTTTCTGTAACAGAAAAACAGACATTTGATTTGGAAGGAGTAGTTAGAGAATGTGTTTTTTTTTTTAATATATAGAAATAGTCAAAGCAGGTGGTTTCCCCACAGGATTCTCTAGTTAACCTTATGAAACCACAGTTCACTGGGTGGAACATGTACAGACGATGACTGCTCCAATCAGAGGAATCATTTGGTGAAATAATATACTCTCTTTATATATACATATATAGAGAGAGTATATATATATACGGTTCAACTGTTGAATTTTTTTAGGCATTATTTAGTACTCGTTATAGGGCATACTCTATATATAGCTAATTGGTGTCAGCTTACTTTGTGTTTTCTATTTCTACACCTGCTTAATATTAATGTCCATAATAAATCTTCCAATAAACCTCATCGGAGTAATATCTAATTAGACCAAGGACCTTTCCATGGACAGAGCAGCTCTAACGTCCCACAGGTCGAGGCAGTGAGATTACGATTGTTAAAGAACCAACTGAAACGTGAACAACATTGACAGAAATTCATTTCCATTTTTCAGCTCGTGTTTTTGAAAATTCAAAATTTTGAAAAGTATTCAGTCTGACTGGACTGGACTCAGTGTTGGTCCTCACTACACTTTTACACCTGCCGTCTTGACACTACTGTAGGGACGGTGGGGAGTGGTTTTACTGTTGAAATCATCTTCCTGAGTCCTGACCTCAGCCTTCAGTCTGTAGACCTACTGCAGTACGGCCACACAGACTGGTCTTATAGTCATGAGAAAATTTGACACTAGTGGTAAGAGTCTGTTAATGTTTTTTTTCTCTCCAAATGACTGTTCGACTGTTGAGGTGTAAATCTTCCTTCAACCACAGCGGCGTGAACATCGTTACGGTTTCTTCTTCCTTTCCTACTTCACTTTCACCTCCTTCGCCCTTGTATTCAAACGACCCACAGAGACGAGCGGCTTCTGTCCGTTTCTTTCCTCCCGCTCGCTGATTTCTCGTTTCATTAGATCCACTCACTAAAAATAAAACTGAGAACTGTGACTCGCCGCCGCGAGGCCTTCACGACCACAAGCATTGGCAGGAAGTGTTGTAGCTAGCAGCATTTTCACACACAGAGCGGGGCGGCCTCTTTGACACCACCTTATCAGAGAGCGAAACTCAGCTCTGACTTTTGCCCTTATTTGGGTATATGTGAAGAGCTTTGAGCTGCGGCGTGGCAGGAGACACGCAGAGGTTGACTCTGTGGCCTCTGCTGAAGGTCGAGAAGCGAAGAGCGAAGCGTGAGAGATGGACATCATTTACACACACATACACACGATCAAAGTGCTGATGTGTGTGACAGTATGTTTTAAGGCTGATGAAACTTCCTCTCTGCTGCAGTGAGAGCAGCTGCTCATGTGTAAGGATTTCATTTCCTTTTACAGCGAAGGGCATTTTCCACAGCAGGCTTTCCTAAAAAACGCTGCACGAGTTGTACGCCACAAACCACTTCTGACTTCTGATAATACTGGGTTTTCCTGAACTGAAGCCATTATTTAACACAGTGTCACATTAACTGTTAAAACGATGATCGTCTTCTTCTTCTCCACCACAGACACCTCAGAGTTTCCTGTTTGTGTTACAGCACCACCAAGGCATTGACATTTAACGTCATTTATCGCTTAGATCTGCTTCAAGGACATGTTTATCACGACAGCTGCTAAAAAGTGTTTTAAACATTCTCATACAGTACAGACCGTACTAATACTTCACAAATGTTTAGGAGAGATGGTAATCTACCCTTGTATTATTTTAGTAAATTAATTAATTAATGCATTTTTTCTCCATGTTTTATAATATTTTTTAACCCTAATAATACGTGTCTCAAAATGATTTTTCTTTTAATTGACGTTCCACACAGAGGAAGACTTTCCTGAACTTTACTGTGATAAAAGTTTCCCAGTTACTACTTAAAATGAAATGTGATGACTCGTCATTATTCTTTCCTTTTCTTATTTGTCAGTTGTCAGTGTTAAAAAAAACATTTTAAACCCTGAGGTGGAGAGCTGACAGCAGCAGCTTCAGTGTTGTTATACTGAGCTCCTCAGCACATTCCTGTTCTCAGCACACACGTCTACAGAGCTGCCGTGACTGTGACTCACGAGTCCAAGAGAGGAGCAGTTTCTACAGTCGACTAAATCCACTGGAAGATTCACCGTGTCTGTTGTTTGGCTCATGCTGCTGTACACACCTGTGAGACCCAGGGACGTGTGGACGCAGCCTGCAGGAGGAGGAGGAGGAGGAGGAGGAGGAGGAGGAGGAGGAGGAGGAGGAGGAGGAGGAGGAGGAGGAGGAGGAGGAGGAGGAGGAGGAGGAGGAGGAGGAGATAAGGTAGATAAGGTCTATCACCGGGGGAAGGCCCCCCAGCTTTAGACTCCTCTGACCTTTCCGCTGCTTTTCTCACCATGGCGCGTCCAGTTCTCAGAGCAGGGCAGACGTCTGAGTCAGTCAAGTGGAGAGGACTGGGAAAGTGTGAGACAGAGGAGCAGAGATGAAGATTGAAGGTTTTATGAGCTTCAGACTGAGTTATTAAAAAAAACAACTCACCAGGTCCAACACTGAAATCAGTGAAGTGCTGTGGTAAACTGTCAACGGTTTATCTTTAAATACTGACTTTGTAAACTTCACATTTACAAACTTACTTTGTTGAGAAAAATACACTTTAAAAGTACATTAATTCTACTGTTCTAGATCATTCCATTCCCTGTGTTTTTGTTAAAAGTGATCAAAATTTGCGACTTGAATAAAACTGTAAAACATAAAAAAAACATGATGTCAATGACATCAATTTGTATTTCACAAGTAAAGAGAAACAGAAAGAAGTCTCTGTTAACAGTGTGTCTCTCTGCCTTTAAATAAGTCATTTTGTTTTAAACGTTCACGGCACCAGTGGTGGTATTATTTTTTAACTTTAACATTTTATACCAACAACATTTTCTGGCTTTTTTTATCAGTAGAACATTTCTGTCAAATGTTTTTGGTACTGAAGTACCATGATTTAAAAAAAAGTTTTTTGTTTTTTTAAATGAGATAAAAATACAAGTCTCTTACACTTAAAGCTAATTATTAAATCACATAAATGAAGAACACGAGTTTGTAAAAATGACAAAATCTGGTGAATAGTTTTGGTCCTTTTTTGTGTTGTATATTGTTTTACATTAACAAGAAATGCTTGATTTACAATAAGGCACACACACACACACACACACACACAAACACACACTCACACACACACACACACTCACTCTGTTGGCACTGGTTCATTTCAAATTCCCTTCTTTCAAAATATGTACAGTTGTGAAAGACAAAATGTTCCTGTCTTCAGTGGGTTTTCATTTTAATTTTTTCTTTGGTGAATGAAAATCTTTTGGGGGAAGACTTTGCATTAGTGGTTTGAGGATGGGTGTCATGACCAAAGCGTTGCGAGTTCAAATCCCACAGTGTGGCGTTGGACTCTGTGATCTGCTGCTCGTGTCTGTGTGACAGATGGACTGACTCAGAGTCTGATGTGTTTATGAAGTGGTTTAACCTGTAAAGTGTTAAATCAGTTCATAACAACGAAGCTGAAAAACAGTTTCAGTGACAAACTGACTCCTTTCTGTCCGTTGACCCCCCCGCCCCTCCCCCGTTCTCCCCCTTCACGTCCCCCGTGGCGTGTCATCAGTAAAAACCACGTGGTTACAGTTGGGAACTGAAGACTCAAGGGGAAATGACACCTGTGACCTTTAACATTCCAACGGTGTGTCGACAATAACTGACAGCAGTGGCTCTGACACAAACCACCCTCAGGAGCCGTAGGTTTGACCTGTGAGGACCACCAGCTGCACATGGAGCACTGTTGACCCTGTACAGCCAGACGCATAAAAAATTAAAATTAAAATTTGGACAAACAAAAAATGTAAAACAATCTTGTGAAGTATAGTACTTCAGTATAATCAAATATAATACAAATGGTTCAACAAAGTTACATTTGTCATTAGAATGTCATTCTTCAACCTTCAAACATTTATATGAATTTTTATTTATACATTTGTTTTATGTTATGTTAAAAAAACCATTCAGATTTGTTAATGAAAATAACATTTAATACATGGAAATAATCTTTTTTTAAATTATAATTTACACTGTCATTAATGACCAAATAATCAATATAATAATCAATATAATTGATGATGAAGTCTGAACCTCATTTGAGACTATAATTGTTTTATTTAATTTCAGATTATAATCTAAATACACGATTTACAGTATTGTGATTTTTTTAAATAGTTAAATAAATAAATGAGGTCATGTGGAAATCTGTGGCAGAAAAAGAATCTTTTATTCCACCCACATTCACCATCACAGGTCTGTCGGCTGTTGGATGGACTTCATTTATAATCAAAGCCTCACATCCAGTTCTGCTCCTTAAATGGTCTTAACACGTATTTGGTGGAGAAACGCGTTCAGCCTCCGCCTCAGTTTCAAGCCGCGAACCCCCCGTCTCACAACGCCCTCGTCATGAACGCTCAGTTTTGACAGTTTCACTCTGAGTGAACGCACACTTTGAGTTTCCTCCGTCACAGAGACATCCATTAATTTGATCTACAACTTCTTCAACAACCTCACATGAACTCACTGTCTGCAGGTGGAGGGCAGTTTTCAAAGTCTGACTTGGAGGAGGTTCTCCAGCAGCAGTGACTGACAATGAACCATCACTTTACACATTTCATTTGTGCTTAGGGTCTTTTGACCTTTAACCTTAATTCTGGTAGATTTTTTTAAATCTTCATTCTGTAGTTCTTGAAACGTGAAACAATTTTTTTTTTACAATTTTCACAGCCAGCTTCATGAGCATCAGCTAATGACCATGTCACAGCTCAGGGCCAAACTGATGCTAGGGGAACGGGAGCACGTGATTGGTTAGAGGGAGGACATCAATGCAGGGGCTTCAGACAGACTATGTTTCACCTGTCATGGGTTTTGACATTAACTTTAGAAATAAGGTCATTGTGGTTTCAGACATGGATTTCATAATTTTGCATTTAGAAAAAAAAAAAAATTAGAACAGATACTTCCTGGTCTTTTTACTTCTGCGGTGCAGACACCCCCGAGTCAGGCTAAAGTCTTTCTCAGTCAGCTTTTTTTCTGTGTGCGTTGTGTGCGTGAGTTAAAAAAAAACCCCAAATAATCTAGTGTTTTCAGATAAGCTGATGTGAGAGAATGAGATTGTCTAACTGTGGTAATAATCATGCTCCCACACTGTCCACTCTTGATGGCAGTGAGTGTAACAAACAGACGTGTCTGGTCTGGACTCGCCATCAAACATTCAGGCGACAGCTCCATCGGCCAACGTGACACCAGTTATGTAAAAAGTAAAGACAAAGGAAGCGAGCGTCACGTCCCCGTGTATCACGCAGATTTCTGTAGGTAGATCGTCTCGACTGCTTTTCAAAAGAGCAGCCGAGGAGATCTACGGAAGTGGAGCCTGAGAGCGGCTGTGACTGTTAAACCTCTTCCTGTGGTTGCGTCACGTGGCTCTGAAGGGTTCAAAAGGAGACGGCTTCTTGTTCTTCTTCTTCATCCGCTCCTCAGACCAACAGAAGACACCTGCGAGGACGCGACCCGCCATTTTCACTGAAAACAGAGAAAACTCAGCAGGAGTGAGGTAAAGTATGGAAGGCTTTTTACCGTCTACATTCATGACGATATTTGAGTGATTTTAGGAGTGAAAGTGTCTTTTTTTATCTTTGTAATGTCTGCTGTTAATTTGACTTCTTCTTGAGAATCTTATGTGCAATTTAAAGGGAACGCATTTATACCTGAGACCGAGAGTTTGTTTTTAAACTGTGAAGTGACTTTCCAATGTGTAAAATTTTATTTTCCAAATAGGTTTTTTCCATTTTTATAATGTGATTATGTACTTCCTACAGTGTTTCCTTGTTCATGTTTCACCTTTGAAGTCACTTTACTGCTCAGACAGAACAGCTTACTCACGCCTGACAAAATGGCGGCCTCTCAACCGCTAGTCCTACGGCGGCTTAGATCTAACATCTTCCTCAGAAAGTGCACCGAGGCCCAAATTTACATAGATGTTTGTCACAAAACCGTTAACAGGAGCCGTCACCTAAACACGAACAGCTAAAAAAAAAAGGAACTGTTTTTTTTAAGTGTCAAATCAGGAAGTGTGCATTTACTGGGTTTGATAATAGTCAGGGCTGGTGTGAGTGTTGGGCCTCACTAGTTTCAGTTTGTCGTTGTGTGCGTGTCTGGGTGTGTGTGGGGGGGAGTAGGGGGAGGACATGTGTTTGCAGCTGCAGATGCAGGTGCAGAAGAGTCGACAGAGACAGAAGAGGACGAAGGACGAAGGCCGAGACCAGCAGCAGCGGACGTACAGTGCAGTCATCCATAAAGTAGAAAGCACTACTAAACTCTCTGCCACAGTGTAGTGTTTCCTACTTTATGGATGAGTGTACTGTTGGCTTCAGGGAGAGCAGCGCTCCATCATGGCGCCCGCACAGGAAATCAGAAAAGAGGAAGTTGCTTTTGTCTCCCAAAGCCACGCATCACTCAGGGTGTCGCTGCAGTCGTTTCACATGGGCGGTGTGTGGCACGGAGCGAGGCTTCCACTCCTTTTTTTTTTTTTTTCCAATTGTGATTAAAGATATAATGTGATGTTGTGATGCCAACAATAAAGCTGTGCATGTGAAAGAGAACGAAGCGTCCTGTTTTCTGTGAAAATAAACATACTTTAATTCCTGTAAAAAGAGCCACATGGAAATAACCCACGGCAACTTCCTGTCCGTCTCCACTCAACGTTCCTCCGGCAACACGAGCCGCTCATGCAAGACAAACTGAGAAACACAAATATAAACTGATGACATTTTTACAGGATAAAAAAACCAAACAAACATTGGTAAATAAAATGACATAAAGTCCGTAGGTGATTGACTTAAACCATGACTGCAGGTCAGGAAAGAAAAAAAACAAAAAAGCCCCAACGCTGTTCTTCTATGATACACAGAAAACACCAACAGCAGCTTCTCCGCTGCTTCAACCTACTGGTCAGATTTACACAAATACCACAAGCAAATAAATAAATAAGGCCAAACATGGGCATGACACTGTTCTGCATGCAGCGAATAAACAGCCTGTAAACAACGTGTTAAGACTAGAGAAGGTCTTAGAGTAAGGCTAAATACAACCAGCTGAGCTACGAGCTACAGTCCCTACATGTGGAGGTGATGCAGAGTCAACAGTCAACTCTCTGCTCTCTACGCAGCAGGTGGAGCGTCACACTGGTGCCATGAAGGCTGGTACATACGAGAGCAGGACACATGGTTTTCTCTACGTTTCAGCCACTTCGCAGCACTTTTTAAAAAACACACACACATACGACACAGTTCGGCCTCGGTCCTGGCTTCGTCACTTCCTAAAGTGTCTGTCAGTCAATCTGCCATCCACATGAATGAAAACACACGAGGTCCGTGGAACAACCTCTCCTCTCTTCTCCCCGCTCGACACGACCCAGCGGCTCACCCCAACGTTTGGCATTTTTGAACTTTCCAGCAGTCAGTTCAGAACGACAGCTGAACACGGGAGAAGAACGCCGGCTAAAAACCTGAGAAGTTACCCAACAGTCCTGTGTCACACACACATTCAAAGACACCGTCATGTGTTGTCTGTGAAGCCTGGTCCACAGACAACAACATCAGCAGCCGTGGTGTGTCCGCTCCGTGTCACCTTCACTGCAGGACACCATAGCTTCACTACGAGCTTCACTTTTAGCCTTAGCTGTTGTGATGCTAATGAAAAGACACATGAAATAAACATGTGTTGTGACTAGAAAATGACAAATTAAAGCATATTTAGTCAGCATAAAAAATAAGATGTAATGACTCTGAGAGTGACTTGATCTAAAGTAAATGTAAATGTTAGAAACTTCACCTAAGAAATCGAGGGAAAAGGGAAAAGAAACTGCGTACGAAGATGAAGCGTTTCAGGCGTATGAACTACTACTTCACCGGGAGTGACCAGATGGACAGGATTAGAGGTGAGCAGATCAGAGGGACAGTTAAGGTGGGGCAGTTTGGAGTTATCAGGAAAGAGGAGAATAGGAAGACCACAGAGGAAATATGTGGCTGTTGTAATAAAGGACATGGAGATGGTTGGTGTCAAAGCAGAGGGAAACCCTGAAGGGAACAGCCAAAAGAAGAAATAAATACATTTCAGTGTTTAATTTACTGATTCTAAGAGTAAAAAAAAAACGTATTAGTTGAAAACTACATCATTAGAGGGAGAACCTAAAGCCAACCTCTCACTTTTTATAATAATCTCTCTGTCTTTTACACCACCCTCCACACACACACACACACACTGTGTGTGTGGAGGGGGCTGACCCAAATAAATAACACATTTCAATTCAACTGTACTGTATAAATACCGTGGAGACAGAGGACGCCACAGGGACGACGTTGACGGTTGGTCAACGTCGCTCAGAACATACAGCCTGCTGATGTTTGTTTACCCTCAGTTAATAAAGTGGCATCAGTACATGTGCACGTGCAGCTGATTCATCATTAGCTGACTGTGAGATGAGCTGCTCCAATGTTAGCGACAAAAGCTACGATGCTATGAGAACTATGAGGACTCACTAAATGAGCCAATAGTTAACACCACGATTAAACACCAGTTTAAACCAATGTCAGCTGACTCCAATCAGTTGAATGAAGTCTGACTTGAATTGGATTTGCAAAAACGACAAAACCACAGCTTCAGTAGAACCGTTGTGTTCTTATCCACCTTAATTAACTTCTGGTCAACGCTCACTGCAGTCAACAGAGACAGGAGGCGGCACCTGCCTTAACAATGTCTGCCGCCTTAAAAGACACTCAAGTTTCCTACTTCTGGTCAACGCTCCCTGCAGTCAACAGAGACAGGAGGCGGCAACGTTCACGATCAACTTCTGAGAAACACTAGTTTCTGTGGAAACATCAGGTAAGTCGGCTAGCTGGGAGAAGAAAGAACAAAGTGAACTCCTTGTCATTGTGACACAGCACACCACCACGTGACCTAATGTGACCTCTGCTTTTAACCCATCACCAAAGTGAACAGTGGGCAGCTTTAAGCAGCTTTAAGCGCCCAGGGAGCAGTGTGTGGGGACGGGGCCATGCTCAGAGCACCTCAGTGGGAACTTTGCAGCTGGTGGACTCGAACCTGAAGCCTTCCGGACCCAAGTCCGCTTCCACTAACCACTAAGCCACCACTGTCCCTACATACAAGTGAAGAAAAAACCAACAAGAGCTGCTAGTCAACTATTCTGTTCTGCATCTTAGATAACACGCATCCATCTTTATTGCTGTGGAGGTCGTGGTTTTAGGCCTCAGTACTTTTGCCTCAGTACTAACCGTTGTCCGTAGCTTCATGTCATCCACTCATTACATGAAGATTTTAAGGTGGAGGTTTGACTGGTTCTCAGTGTGGTATGAAGCCACTGACTATTTATCAAACTGTCAGACTTTCAGTCTTAATGTCACCTCTCACTGTGACTAGGATCTATACACTCCAAACAGAAGAAGAAAACCTTCAAATGTGTGGATATAGTTAAATCATGTAAAAAACTGTATAACAGACCAGGAATAAGGTGGATGTGTAATCATGATGCAGGGAACAGGGACTTAACATGGACTGTATATGAAGATCGTTCTCTTCAAGTCCATACAGAGCCGCACTACAGGAGCCAAACTCTGGTATTAACCATAAACTGAACCTCCTCAAACAAGCAGTAAAGAACTCTCTGTAATTATTGCCTTTCTGATAGTAGACCAAATGAAAGTGTTAGCGGTCAGCAGATCAACTTAGATCAATAGAACGTTTACTCTAGACTACTGCTGAGGGTTACAGTATAGAGATGCTACATATAAACACAGTAGAATCATTAAAGCCTCTGATGAGTGGAACATCGGCAGACGTTCCAACAACAACAGAACCCCCGCCCCCGCAGCAGACGTTTTTGAGTCTGCAGACATCAACATGCACGCCATGCTCTTAAAGATGCTGAGTGCAATACGCTGACATTTGAAAAACTCCATTCAACAGCTGGTCTCGCAGGCTAGTGTATATATACTGGTTGTTGAAGCCATAAGATCTAAAAGCAGCTAACTGCGTCAACTGTGAATCGTGACTAAAGGTTAGGAGAAAAAAAGAGAAAAAAGTGCATTTATAGTGACACAGGTCCTGAGTCACACGTCTTGACTTTCATTCTTTCTTACTGGAGCCCAGCTTTTTAAACAGCTTCCTGCCTTTGGAGAAAAAGCCTTTTTTCTTTTTGCCTGTTGGAGAGCAGTCTGCTTTTGTGGGGGTGTCCACTGGAAGAGGAGTCGGAGGAGAGTTCAGGGTCTTCACTGCGGCTGGAGCCCCAGCTGGACCAGCTGGGGCCACCGGCTCTGAGGCGTGACTTTCAGAGGGTGCAGGGCCCGGTGACAGCTCTGTGTGTTTCACTGGGTCTGGAGGTGAAGGCTCTGTTTGTTTTTCCAAACATTCGTCCTTTGTGGTTTGTGGCCCAGGATGAGGTTCAGATGACGTCATGGCACCCTTTAGGAAGAGGATTTAGACATTAGTCATGCAGTTTTTGCTTAGACTTGAAATTTACAAGGTCAAAAGTCCTCAAGACTTTGTAACTTTTAAATATGAAAACCTACTTTAATATGAAACTTATTTAAAATAGTCCATAAAATATTAAACTAGTATAGCCTTATACTATCAGTTTATTCTCCTATTTTCTGGTGTATACTTCATCTTGTCTGAAGATATTCTTTCTCTATGTATGGAAAAATATTTAAATGAATTAATGAACCAAATAACAGCCCATATTAAGCCCATTTTAAGCATAATTTCTAACGAGAAGAAAACAGTTGTTTGAGCAGATGGAGATTTTTTTTTACCTTGGTGCTAATTAAAATCAATAATTTTACCAAAACTATTTTCCAAGAAGAGAAAAGGTCAAAGGACCAGACAGCAAATAGAAATCATGAGCTGGCAGCAGGACTATCAGCTACAGCCAAACACTAAGTCAATGGGAAGAACAGAGGTTGTGTGTTATTAGGGAGGTCTGGTCCAGGTGTGTGAGACTCAGGATTACATTTGGAAACAAAAAATCTAAATCTAGGGGATCACCACACAGTTCTCTGTGAAAACACTTACAGTCATTTCTCAAAGTGCACACTTCGCCTTTGCTTCTGTACAAGGCCATGCAGTGAACACAAGAAATGCAGCAGCGCAGAGTTAAAGAGGAAACAACAGAGTGCAGACAATGGACAGGATTCAGAAAAGACATCAGTGATGTGTGAACATGTTGCATTTGACATTGTATGTAAATGACAGGTAGTTCAGTGTTGATGTTCCAGAATGTTCCCACCTGTGAGTCTTTCTTGGCCTGTGGTGCAGGCTGAGCACCGACAGGTTCTGCTACGGCTTCCTCTGGTACAGCCTGCAGGAAGTTTGAGGGGACCAATCCTCTGTGTCCATTTAAATCCCCCTGAAAGACACATGACGCACAGGCCATGAAACCACCTTTGTACGGGAGCCAGAGTGACAGGTCATGGTAAGAAGCACTCATCTGTGGTCCCCGTGGACACATTTAGACATGAAGGACAGCCTGTTGTTTTTGTTGGTCAGCCAGGAAACCAACGACGCCACAGAGAACCCTTTCATTTGACGTGGATCGGGCCATGAGGTGGCGGTTCATACTGGCTCAAACATGTAGACTTCATACACAAATGTGTGTTCACCCTGTGTGTGCGTGGCTTTTCTCCGTGTACTGTGGTTCAGAAACATACTCATTACAGGATTAGGTGGATCGGACAATCTAAATTGCCCACGGGAATAAATGTGAATAGTTGTCTCAATTTGTGGCCCCGCTGTCCAGAGTGTTCCCAGCCCTCACCTGTTGATTGCCGGGATTGGCACCAGCTCCAATGCAATGTTGTTTTACACATTTTTATTAGTAATACTGGACAATTTTAATAATAATAACACAGTTAGGATTTGAGGCACACGGATTCTTACAAAGAAGAAGCCGTCTTCATCCATGTCTCCAAACACCTTTATGACGTCTCCTGCACTGAAAGTCAGTTCGGCCTAAACAGAAAAAATAAAAAGGATGACCAAAAAGAACTCCTTCACATTTTATTTATATTACATTCATCATGATGTCACAGCCTGACCTCTATGTCGGTGTTCGGGGAGCTCTCTCTCGGGTCATAATCAAAGATGGCGACCATCCTGCGAGCTCCCACCACTGTGCTTCCTGCTGTTGTGACGGCAGGACCACCAGCAGCAGCAGCAGCGACAGGACCAGGACCAGGACCAGGACCAGGACCACCACCACCACCACCACCACCAGCAGCAGCAGCAGCAGCCATTAGCAGCAGCAGCAGCTGCAGACATCTGGCTGGGATCTGCCAGTTAAACAAATAAATCCAGTCTCAGTCAGAGCTATGATAATGGAAGAGTGAAATGTGGCCGAGTTCCCAGTCAACTCAGTTTGACTGTGAGTTCAACTCAGCTTCGTGCTGAGCTGAGAATCACACGACTGCACTGACAGAACACAGAAAAGTAAAATTATACAAGAGGTTAGAAGGAGTTGCTCTCCATGTAACTTCAGTCAAACATTAAACAAACGGAAAAAAAAAAACTACAAATGACAATGACATCAGCTGAACTGAGAACATTAGTTACATGTCAGAGTGGACTGCTTGATGTGGACTGTACTGGTGAAGTTATAGAAAAGGCTGATTTTGAAATTTTCAGAAATATGGTCACACCCCCCCACCCCCTATACTGCTGCCATCAGAGCATCATGCTCCATAACTTCAAGCAAAAAAAGTTAGATTTATTTAATGCTTATTTTTAGCTTTCAAACAATTAAAAAAATTGAATCAAATTAATTATATGGCAGCTGTGGATTTATCACAATTAATTTATGATTATTCCTCATCATAATTGAGCACGATTAATCCCCACAAATTCTTGTGGTGATTTTTTTGGTGTACACAGATAATCAAGCAGTCCCTCTTGAAGATCAACAAAGGTGATTCTTGGTGTTATTGGAGGGAAGAACTCACTCCTCATGCTCAACTTTGGGAAAAAAAACATCGAAAGATCAAAGAGTTGATGCATGCCAACCTGCAGAGAACGGTAGAAGTGACTGATCATGCAGAGGCATACAGAGGTAGAAGAGCTAAGGACAAACCTGGGCTGCAGGAGTCTACGCTCTCCTCACAGAGTGCTGCAGACTCCACTGTGAAAGATGAAGGTGAGGGAAAAGACATGAGCACAAATCACACTGCAGGGGAAAGACTGGAGAATACTGAGTCACACAAAGAGATCAGAGATCAGAGAAGACCAATGGTAAAAACAACTTCACATCACATGATCATGTCATGCATTTAAGACAGAGGAGCAGAAGACTGGCAGCATGTTTGGCTGTACTACATGTACGGCCAGTGTAAGCTGACCACAGTGACTCCTACTCACGCAAGTGCATTTGATGTGAAAATGAACTAAAATCTATAGAAGATCAAAAGTCTCCTGAATAAGACTAGGTTAGAAAGGTTAGTGCTAGTTAGTGCACAAGGCTTTATTTACAGATTTACAGAATTATATCGGGGATTATTCAGTAATTTGACCAAATCTGCGTTAATCATTACGTCATGATTTAACCTGACAGTTGAATGTCAAACAACAGGAACAGCAAGTGAATAAATGGGCAAACCAGAAAACCAGAGAGAGGAGAAGAAAGGACAGAACTGCAGTCTGCAGCCAGACACACCTTTCTTGGATCGCCTTGGTTTCGGTGGTGGAACAGGGCAACGTGGAAGCTGTGCGTGAGTGCGAGTGCCTTTATGAAACATTTTGAAAGGAAACCAAAGGACAAAAACAAAACGAACAGAAAAAAAACAACACAAAAGTGTTGTGGAGAGGAGCAGACCAGACAAAATTGACAATGAAAAGCCAAGTGTAGGGCAATTTGAACAATGACATCTTGTGAGGAGCACACGCAGCAATGAGTCATGTGGAAATCAAAAGGCAGTACAAACTCTGAAGCATGACATCACAGTCAATTACTGAGATTATGGAAACACCGTATTTTACAGCAATAAAGCGATGGCCTGAATGAGGATTTTGCTGACAGTGCTGTGATGTGCAGGCCATGTTAGGATGTGTCTGCAGTATTTGACTCGCTGTTTACCATCTTTGTCATAAGACAAAGAATTAAATGCACCCAAGAGATGACAAGATGGTGCCCCTAGGGGACGACACCTGGACTTGATCAACTCATTTTAAACTGGGATTTTACACATTGCAGCTTTATTTCTATCAAATCAGATTTTTCCATTGTCTCAATAGCAGCATAATGAGAGGTCAACTGTAAAACATGAAACATTTTTCAGGATTTGTTTTCACATTTTCACTATGTTTTACAGTGTTTTTTATTGTATTAATTCTACAGCAGCGAGAAAGGTATCGTAACTTATTTAACTTTCTTTGGAAGCTTTTTGTGTTGACTGAAGGGTTGGGCAATCAGAGACTTTTATTGGGTTTCAGATTTTAAAATCTAAATTTACCACTAAAATCAGGAACCTTGGATACTTTCAGATTTGGAAGGACGGCATTGCAAACAATGACCGAATACGCAGATGTTTTAGTGCCACGTACCTATCTTTTCCATGGAGGCCGCTGTGGACAGGAAGCCCTGCTGCAGCAGCTGCTGCCGCGTCTCATCGTCCTCCACCTGGATCTCAGACACCATGTTACACGGTACGTAACCAGAACGATTCCCGGCCTCGCCTTGATAAAATCCATCTGCATCTTTATCTCCGTAAACCTAAGGCAGAGAGAGTGGTGAAATACATTAGACATAACAGATAGACACGAAGTCTGCTGTATTTCAGACACGCTGTAACACTGACTTTGACAATTTGTCCTTCGACAAAGGGCAGCTCTTCTTCAGCAGCATCAGGATTAGGTGACATGGTGGCAGGGTCGTAAGAAAACAGGGCCACAAAGATGCGTACGTCACGGCCTCTTTTAACCTTTGGAGAGTCGGCTACAACTGCAAAACCAAACAACAATACCAACGCACACACACACACACACACACACACACATTCAAACAAGATAAAGATCATTTCCTATTTAAAGTTCTTAGATGGCAATTAATTAATCTAGAGAACATGGATTTTACACATTTTCTAAGGAGTTATATTTCTGTTTTTGTATTAAAAAAACACATCAAACACAACAATTATAAAATAATTAAATAAAAGATTAAAAAGAATGGTCAGGAAGAAATTCAAACTACACCCATAATTATTGAGCATTTCACCTAAACATCTGTCCTGCTGCTTTTTTGATGATGATATGTACTGCACATAATTTGTCAAAGTAGTTTCAGTTTGAATGAAACTCAACGATGTTGATGCGGAAAAGCCTTTCAGTTAGTTCTGCAAACAGATTGTACCACTCCAGTCCAGTCCAGCCCACAGCGGTGCTGCTGCGAACAGTGTCCACCTACAGTAATACAGTCCTAAAACAGGTGACCAGGTTAAACTACTGATCCTAAGCTGCGTGAGCTGTTTGACACAAGCGTCCTGTTCACGATCGTGACGTGCAAACAGCGTTTGGTCGATTTACTGATTTACAGAAAAAAGGTGTTGGATCTTTTTTAAAATATTGTGCATCACATAGCACGTGGTTATTGACACTAACAAGAAGAAATTGGACACAAGAGGGGCTGAAGGGCATTATAAGAGCAAACAGGCTCCACACTGAAGAGCTGTAGTCAAACTTTATGCTTCACTGAGGAGAAAAGTTCTTCATCTCACGAACATAAGACGGTGCATCTGGAGCAGATATCATGGCTTAACAGCTTGAACACCTTCACATCCTCATTGATCTCATAGTAGATAAGAAAGAACTTCTCCTCGCTCTCTGTCTCTATCTGCCTCCATAAGAAGTCGGAGAGCAGAGCAGGCGAAAGTGAGAGATGACACCCTGCATTCAGACTGCAGCGTTTGTCTTTGGCTGCTAATTGCGGTTACTATTTTAATGTGTGTCACTTCCTCCTGTCATGACAAGCAACCCTAGGTTAAGCCGTTTCGCAGCTTAGCAGGCTTTCTTCCACTTCTCCACTACAGCTAACAGCGGCTCCTCCTAGCTGACACCTCCCCTTCCTCCCTCCCTCTCAGCACAGGATGCTAATCTGACTACCACCATGTGAACTCAGCAAGTAAGCTTGTTAAACACATTACAGTTTGCCAGCATAATACAATAAATACTCAATTTCTGACCTGACATGGCAACGAAACCATAGAGACAAAAAAATAAAACAGGAACAAACCTTTAGAGTTTTTAACCTGCGACGACGGCTCAGCCTTGGCCCCTCTTAATGGACTGGCTTCAGAAAACGGAATTTCTTCCGGCTCCTGCTGCACATAGAGATAAAAATAATATATTCAAAGAACATCATTCTCAAAAAGAAATACGTATATAACAGTTTTATACAGGAACAGTAAATGACTGCGCTTTCCATGTTAATTTGCAGAGTTTGGGTGCAATATAAACTACTTAGGTGGAGAAGAAAACTTAGGTTTTTACTCTTGGAGATCGACAGGTAAGATCTCAATGAGAAGCTAATTTAGTGGTGGAAGACAGGAACAACACATTCCTTAGGTATTTAAGGCAGATTAAGTGATTTCTTTAATGCTTCAAATGTGACTAAGATGACTAAATGAAGGAAAAACTCTTGGAATTTAAAATATCTGATGTTCTAACAAACAACGTCCAATAAAACATGTTCCTTTTTTGCTGTATAGAGCCATTAGCAGACACCTAAATACATCCACCAAGGGTTAACACAGGACAATGACACAGAAACTCGAGTGGAGGAGAAAAAAAAAAAAAGAGACAGTAATGGAGATTCATGCAGTGGGACAGGCGGAGGACAGATTCAATTATATTTGGACTTCTGATGAATTACAATGAAGTTAAAAATTAGAAAGAATGAATGGATGTCACTCTGATGTTCTGGAACTAGTATCATACCATAAGTCAACAAAATAATTGTATTTTGTGGTATAAAAAACAGCTGACATCCGCCTGTCCCTGCAGCGACGAGGACAAAAACAATCGGCAGTTGTTTAATGAGCAGAGGAGGGAAATCACGGAGTGACTACAGGTTAGGTCCACACCGCTACTGGGAGAAGAGAGTGGGACGACAAACCCATTTTGGCAGGCCTGGGGTAAGGTGACTCAGTGGGTCACGCTTGAGGCCTCGGCGAAGGGGAGGCCTGCAGCGCTGCAACGGAGGCCTCTCCACCCACCACTCAGAGCTCATCTGCTCCACCACCACATCCCCAGCACTCGACACTGTGGGCTCCTCCTTATCGTCTGCACCGTACTCCACATCTATCTCCATTGCTTGACCAATGGGTGACTTCAGGTGGCGTACTGTTTTGCTGACAGGGATCGTTCTTGGTGGAGCATGACCGTGGCTGGGGTTAGCTGCTGCTGTGACTGCCTTTTGGCTCTTCAGCATGGCCTCCCTCCTGAGGCGGTCCCCTAGCCCTTTCAGAGGCACCCTCTCCCTGCTGTGGGGAGTGGGCTGAGGTGGAGAGCAGAAGGAGACACGCCTGGTGGAAGGACCCTCGTAAAAACTGTCCTCTTCATCGGTGTAGGTGAAGGTGTCCACTGTGTCCGCATAGTGGACTCTGTGCTGTGTCTTGGGCTTGACCTGCAGGGGTTCCTGTCTGGGTGAAGGTTCTTTGATCAGGGATTTGTGATCCCTGTTGAAGTTGTGGTGGTGTGTGTTACAGTGACGCTGTTTGGGGACAGGGTGAAACTGGTGTGGGTCACTCGATTGTAGTTGTCTGGTTTTGTTCTGATTATGCATCCTGTGGCGTAATGAGTCTTCCTGATTACTGTCCTCCTCTTCTGTCAACTCAGGAATACTGGACAGCTCCTTGTTATTGTGAAGCTGAGGAGGTAACTTAAGGATTCCCCCATGAACCTCCTCGTCACTGTCTGGAGGATCCAACTTGTAAAACTACCATGGCCCCGAGTCAGAGTAAGATAGAGAGACACAGTGATAATGTTGACGAAGGTGGATGAAATTTAAAATTGTTCAGTACAATTAATAGGAGTGTAGAGCAGGAGACACCGTATCGTGCAAAGGAATTAGAAAAAACAACACAAAGAAAAGACAGGAAAAACAGAAAAATTCCAATTAATGATCAGGAATGCAAACAGAAACAGAGGCAGAAAATAAGAAGTCAAACAATGCAGAGTGAAATGAGAATATTTTAGAACAAAAGCAGAAACCCCCCCCATAAAAAACTCATCACTTTACCCTGTTAACTCCTGCTCTACTTCCTATGGTCTGCACTGCTCCAAGCTGGTCAGAGAAGAGGTCTTCCTCCTCCTCCTCGAGGATGTCAGACAGGTCCGACCGGCTGTTATCCCCATGGTAGTCAGTGGATGGTTCTATGAGCCCTCTGCCATGATTCTGTGGAATTAGAAACGGGCAGAGTAAAAGAAAGCCTTAAGAAAATAATTTTAGACATTTAAGTTGCAGCTTTTTCTTGCTCCAGACTTCAGATCTGGGGTGTCCACACTTTTCTTGTCTTGTGAGCTACTTCAAATGACCAGGCTAAAGTGATCTACATACATTGATAATATTAAATAAATATATACTTGTAAACAATTTAGTCCTAGAGATTTCATCTGAAATAAAATGACATACTTTCTCATTTTTAGTTTTGTAAAATCTGCCAATACTTCCTGTGTAATCAACATGTTGATCTGCATCTGCTTATTGGACAACTCTGTTTTAACCACGGAAACCCTATTGCACAACAGCACTTGCTTTTATCTCTGGATTCAAAGGTCAAACTTTACATCATATTTCAAATATAAAATTAGACTCTGCACTTCTATTAGATCCTGTACAGTTTAGTCAATTCTCCTTGATTACCTTTAAAGTGACACTGTAAAGTACGATTTGTACACACCAGTATCATCAGGAATATTTGAATTGAGTATTGAAAGTTAATGTTATTACTTTAACTTATCTTTATTTGTCATTGTGACACAGCACAGCACACCATGCACAACGAAATTTAACCTCTGCATTTAACCCATCACCAAGTGAACAGTGGGCAGCCGTGGTCAGCGCCCGGGGAGCAGTGCTTGAGGACGATGCCATGCTCAGTGCATCTCAGTGGTAACCTGGCAGTTGGTGGATTCGAACCTGGGACCGAAGTCCGCTTCCTTTACCACCTTTACCACTAGGCCACCACTGCCTTAAGAAGGTCAACATAAATATAACATTAAGTTTCATTTGCAAATTCTATATTTATTCTACATTCCTGACTCCTGTTTTTTGCCCCTCTTTTTTTTGTAACTTCCACCCACAACTTTTAATGAGGAAACACCTACACTGACACACACACACACACACACACCCTAACATGCAGTTAAATGTCACTGCACCTGTTCTCACCCCTCTTTCCTGAGCCAGAACACCCTGCACCTTCAGATGAGGTTCGTTGGCCTTCCTTCAGGTGTTGAACTTTGTGGTAGAGTGAGTTTTAATTAAGTGTACAGTGTTTTAACAAAACTACTCCCCCCTCTGCTGCTGCTGATGCTGCTGCTCCTTCTGATGATGATGCTGATGATGCTGCTGATGCTGCTGCTTCTGCTGCTGCTGCTGCTG